CTGCAAAGTCGGAGTGCATCTGCTTGAGAGGCAAGGAACCAGCAGTCTGTGTACAAATGAGTCAGATCTGTAAACCAGATGCACACGAAACACAGGTTCTGGAACAGGACTACAGTCTGGAAGTGGATAAACAACCAGAACTTTCCGCCAGAGTTTACAGCTGGTGAACAAGAAGAAGACAAAGAATGTTCTTTATGAGTTGTGGTTGCAAGCAGCGATGTTTAACAGAGCATCCCTAGCTACTATCTACAGAAAGGTTAGTTGCGTATCCTTTACAGGACGTTGCAGAACAAACCCCAGCAGCCCCTGGCTGTTGTGTGGTTTTTCTAGGCAAATTTACATCCAATAGTTTGTCACTGCTTTCTGGACAGTCGGCTTTCTTGATACCACTGTCGAAACCAAAGCAAGGCGCACGGCCCGCAGCTGGGATCGAACCCGGCATCCTGGCATTACGAAGCGTTTGCATCGACTTAGCCACAGAGCTGACACTACAGAATATGGCAGAAATATCCGAAACACGGGCTTGGCCAGCTAGACTGCAACTGGCATTCACAGACAATATTTTATAGCATGGTAAAAAGCTATGTCAGCCCCCCCCCCCCCCCCCCCCCCAAAAAAAATCAAATGTTACAAGAACACCCTTGAGGCTACTCTCACATCTTTCAGCATGAGCCCTTTTATCCTCAAAACACTTAGCAGGAAGAAAACCGATGTACCGTGGAAATTACCCATCCCTGAAATTATTAATTAATTTTTTTAAAATTCTAAATTTACACAGGAACTACTGAAAATTTTTTACTATTTTATAAACTTGTTAAGGGTGTGTATGAAGGGGAGTAATCAATAAATAGGAACAAAGCAGATAATTAAATTCCCCTGGACCTTTAAAAAATCTATATAGTAACTCATACTTGACTCCATCATCCCATTACTATGCAACTACTAAAAGTAAAGGTCTATTATGATCTTAAAATGCACCCCCCCCCCCCCCCCACGTCAGTCAGCATGTAAATATCTGGCTGCAATGTCCACATTTGAAAGAAAAATGGACAAAGAAATCGACTTTCAATGTGCCAAAAAAAAAAAAAATCGGATACAGGGGCAACAAACCTCTTTTTTGACTCACAGAAGGATACCTTGGTCTAATAAGTAAATCTAATAGGAACTATTTTTGGCTAAGTCTGTGCTGCCAGTGGCAAAGATGGACTATAAAAACATGGACTACAATAAATGAGCACCACACTTTAACAACAAAGTTGACGTGCCTCAAAAGAGCTGGCAGAATAATAAGAAGAGGTAAAAAAAAAAAATAAATAAAAAAAAAAAAAGACTAGGACTAGTTCATTAAACAGCAACAGATAAGATGGTTTAGCTATATGAAAAGAATGTCCTGGTATCAACTGAGGCAGTCAGCCACACAAAGAGACATAAAGAACACAGGGCAAAGGGAACACAACGGAAAAAATGGAACAAATACACCAAGAACAACCTTAAAAACATAAAGGTCAACTCACACAATGCATTAGTGTAAACAGAAGATCCTTACATCCTCCCTCAACACTTCAATAAGACAAGAGGAAGAGAAGAAGAAGAGGAGAAAAAGACAGCAGTCATGCTGAGAGAATGAAACCGGCTGGCACTCGCATACAGTGTTCATGCTAATAAATTATATTATTTTTTACTGTACCTCAGACAGAAGCCTCGTCTTACCTGAGATTCAAACCTGGGCCTAATGTATTCCATGCCCTCAATCATCTGCCCTAATTTGCTGTCCAAAACCAGATAAAAACGGATAACAAATAAGTCAACATTCATAATGGCATCATATAATAATGGGTTGTATGCCACCAGGTAACAACTGGGTAGATGATCCATCAAGGCAACCTCGTGGACACAGCACCAGATAATGATGATAATTCTCCACAGAATCAGAGTTTGGCACTGCTAGAAAATATACACTATTAGAAACTACACAAACTGAATACCTCCACGTTGGAACCTCACAACTCCACGATATGATCCAAGGCAGAAAACTAGTTCCCTGCATGTCTATGGAATGATCTGTGAATCCTGCCAACACAAGGCTACTCTGTCGACTGCAGTTGACAGCAGGTACACATCTATGAACACATCATTCAGCTGCAGGACAACTAGGACTAGCTATCATCCACTGTGCTTCCACACTGAGGCAGAGAGGCGGCAAAGATAACAATGATGATAGTTATTATGGCAATGTTTCAGGCACTGCAGCTGACGACCAAACTGCCTCAGGAGCCAGCGTCACTTTTCTGAGGGTAGTCAGCGTCTGTCGGCAAGTCAAATATTTCCAGCAGCAGCGGCTCCAGCTCATCCACTTTCATCCTGAGCAACATTTTCGAGTGGACCTCGTTGATGTTTCTGAGATCTGTCAGCTTCATGACCACCCTGGCAAACAGAGTGGGCTCCTGATTAAAGCGCCGAGAAATATACTCCTCCAAGATGCGGGCGTAAGTCTCCTGGATCTCTTGAACCTTGCCATGCTCAACCATTGGCATTCTGTCTGCTGTGGAAAGAGGGGGAAAAGAGCGTAAGCAAAACAGTAGAAGCACACACTACTTAACCAACTGCCACACATAGACAAACACACACACACAGTTATTTAACTATCCGTAGGGCTGTGATTTTGGTTTCAGGCATGAGGGAAAGTTAAGGCCGTTGTGATGTGTATACAGAGATCCTCAGTTGCCAGCAGGCTCTGTGCTTACTTCACAGATCCTTATACAAGACTCAGTCCAACCCCCCCCCCCTCATCCCACACTGCATGGGTGACACCATCCCTCAGTCCAACCCCACCCCCCTCTCCCCCCATCCCACACTGCATGGGTGACACTCTCCCTCAGTCCAACCCCCCACCCCACACTGCATGGATGACCCTGTCCCTCAGTCCAACCCTCCACCCCACACTGCATGGGTGACACCAATCCTCAGTCCACCCCTTGCACACTGCATGGGTGATAGCATCCATTAATAACTCATTCTGGAGCCTGAGAGAAAACTGCTGGTAAAATATCTTATTTAACAAATCTTGATTCAAACGTCTGTCGACCAAAAATCCTACTGAATTGCTGATTAGGCTCAAACATCCATCAGTCAAGTGTCAAATAGCAGAGTTTGAGATGTCCGACCATCGAATGTACTGTTTGACAGAAGGGGCTCAAATGTATGCTACCAATGGCCCCCATTTGTCAAATGTTTTAGGCAATGCAGCAGCTGATGACCACACTGCCTGAGGAGCCTGTGTCATTTTTTTTCTCTGAGGGTAGTCAGCGTCTGTCAGCAAGTCAAATATATCCAGCAGCAGCGGCTCAAGATCATCCACTTTCATCCTGAGCAACATTTTTTTTTTGGACCTCGATGTTTCTGAAATCTGTCAGCTTCATGACCACCCTGGCAAACAGAGTAGGCTCCTGATTAAAGCGCCGAGAAATATATTCCTCCAAGATGCGGGCGTAAGTCTCCTGGATCTCTTGAACCTTGCAGTGCTCAACCATTGGCATTCTGTCTGCTGTAGAAAAAGGGGAAAAGAGCATAAACAAAATGGTAGAAGCACACACTATTTAACCAAGTGCCCACTCATATCAATCCTTTAACTACCTGTCACGTGATGATTTTGGTCACAGGATGAGGGAAAGTAAAGGCGTTGGTGACGTGTATAGCAGATCCTCCATACCATACCTCGTCAACGGCAAGCTCTGTGCTGGTTTTAAGGATCTTCATGCAAGACTCCTGCCACATGTCCTCACTGTGCACTATGCATAATGGCTCATATCGTTCCAAAGCGAGTTAGCAGGGGATAGAGGATTTATTGGCTTCCAGAGATGTAGTGTCAAGAAATCCTCGCTTTTATCAGCCCACCCCTAATTTTTATGTGGCTAGAATCACAGGACAATTCCTGCATGTACGTGCTGAGTGATTCTTTGAGCATGATCTGATGGGTCGAGGCAGGCTGGTTATGCAGACAGTGGACTGAGTCATTGCAAAACTCCCTTGTGTATGCAGTTACCTTCATATTTGTCCCAGGGCATGCAGGTGTTGTTGGTAATGAAAAGGCTGATAGACTGGCAGGTGCTGCATTAACTGAAGATGGCCGGCCCAGGAGATAATCCAAATAATGGGTGATAATGTCCTTAAAACCTCATCTGGAACATGAGTGAAGTAATTGACCAAAAACCCAACTATATGATAAACCATGGTTCAAATGGCTGTGGACCAAAATCCTATGAAATGACATTCAGACTTCTGATCGTTTTCATTCTTCTAAAAGGTTCAAACGTCTGCTATCACTGGGCCCACTCATTAGGACCAAGCCTGATGCATGCTTTGCTGATCCCGTCGTGCAGTGTGTCTCAATACAACAATATTAAAGATGTCTAACATGCTGTGTAAGATTGTGCCCATTAGTATGGTCAACTCTAGTACATTAGTATGGTCAACTCTAGTACATTAGTATGGTAAACTCTAGTACATTAGTATGGTCAACTCTAGTACATTAGGATGGTCAACTCTAGTACGGTCAATGAGGTTCCAGACCTACGGGCTGCTCCCTGCTGATTTCTAAAGAGTGAAGCCCATGAAGAGTAGAAGGCTCAACATAATATGTGAGGTTAAGCAGTCAAGTGCAGGACGTGGCAATTCCTTGGTTGAGTCCAGGGCCAGAGTGTCATGTGTTGACTCTGCCCCACAATCAAATACAATCATTCAACCACAACACACACCCAAATTATTCACCTACATATTCACAACCACCCATCCACACATAACCATTCAACCACCCACACGCACGCAGCCTTCAAACACATGTTCAACCGCAGGCACACACATACAAACCTCTGATGTGGTGAATGGTTGTGACCCCAACTGTGCACTTAAACCCCAGACATATATGATTCTAGCAGGCTTCTGATGCCAAACTATCATGGAGACACTAAGCATTAAAATCAACCACAAAAACAGCCACCAACCAGAGAACAGAGACATCAGTATGAGAAGCTTGAGAGCCAAGAGGTCTCCGTGAATGGTCGACATCAAGGACTTGATAAATTTGCTGTAGGTTAAAAACAACTGCTTCGACTCGCTAGAGCCCATCTTGAGGATCTCAGCACTGATCCTCTCCCCCGTGGCCTGACTAGACCCATGGTTGATACAGCCTTTCGTGTTCAGGCTCCAAGACTCAGTAAAAGGGTCGTAGTTTACAGCTGACCGCAACATCATAATATCCACAACTGACCCCTTCAGCAATGACATCTGGTCATCCTTGTGCAGATGTTTGAAATAGGCAATGTTCTTGGCAACCTTGATGACCTTGCGGACAAACAGCTCAGCCATATTGATAAAGTCTTCAGTATTGGAAGGCATCATCTTTAACGAGCTGGAAGACATTATCAAAAAAGATCCAGCCTCCATGGCTGCCACGAGTTCGTTAATTAAACACTGATCATCTGGCGACATCATACTGATCACTGACTGAACCTGCTCCTGGCTCTCCTCCCATGGAGTAAAAGATATCACAGCTTCGGAGGATGAGGCGGAATGGCTTCTTGACTTACTGGGAAATTTAGGTCCATGAGATCCACAGGAGCCAGTCGGTGACGTAACGGAACCTGGGCTGCTCAATGAATCAGCGTCTTCCTTTTTGATGGCAATGTTGCAGGTGCCGAATTCTGTGTGAGATGCCAGGAACTGGTCAGGGTTTTTTGCAACTAAGCCTCGGATGGGCGTGAGAAGATCTTTAGTTGAGGCAGAGTACGTGTCTTGTGGCGGGAGCTGACCCTGCCTGCGGAGTTTGTTGATTATGATCTTCTGTTTGCGCTGTTTCTTTTGCTCATCATCTGCATCATGAGAAAGTATAAGTTCTCATTATAATATTTAAATGTTGTTTTGCTGCCGCTGAGCTACAATACTTCTTCTTCTTCTTTTCCTTCTTCTTCTTCATGTTCACCAGCTGTAGACTGGTGGAAAGTTCTGGTTGTTTGTCCACTTCTGGGCTTTAACCTTGTTCCAGAAATTGAGTGTTGTGGGCAAAATCCATTTTACAGATCTGGCTTATTTGTATGCAGACTGTACGACATGGTCAGCTCTATCAGGATGAGCTGGCGTTTTTTCCGCAGAGTGCAGAACTATGTCTGGTCTCCGGCCGGTCTTCTGAATTGCTCTGGGTACTTTTCTAAACCAGGCAGATCGATGAATCTCTGCCAGACAGTGACAATATTCTTGATATTAGAAAGTGACAAACCTAGTGACAATAATCTAGTTTAGGTTATGAAAATTGAACAAAATATTTCAATTGGATCATCTGTTTTGATCAGCTGTTTTCCCGATTTTCGGTTGTTGTGAAATCTAACATGTCATACAAAAATGATCATAACATTCAAAGTATTTAAATTAATTGTTTCAAATAAAGACTAGCTGATACATAATTGAACAGAGAAGGCATGTGCATTCTTAGAATTGGATAGCTGTGTTGTTGAACAAGTAAATAAGTAAGGTAAGCAGAAATTTGTTTAATGTAAATAATCTTCATATGTGTCTAACATCCTTGAATGTTGTGTGATTTAAATAATATTTTGTTGTAATTCTGACACTTAAATAGTTTCAATTTATTCTGCACTCATTAATCTTCAATTTTATAGATTATATGACCCGACACAACCAATAAATTTTCTTCAGGAAGGTTTTAGCTTTGTTGTATTCCAGAAAAAACTTTATGCTCAAAATTAATGCTGTCCAAAACCCATTAAAAATGTGGTTCTGAAAGAGTTAAAGTAACCGACATTTTGATATAAAGGGATTAGAATATTACACCATGAAGCAAATGGAACTGAAGTAACACCTGAAACTGAATGGGTAAAAGCTACAGCTGGGTAAAGTGCCCTGTGGCCATGCCAGACAATTCAATAAAAGGAACTGCAGCAGCACCTTAGACTGAATGGGTGAAACACTACAGTTAGGTAAAGTGCACTGTGCCAGACAATTCAATAAAAGGAACTGCAGCAGCACCTTAGACTGAATGGGTGAAACACTACAGTTAGGTAAAGTGCACTGTGGCAGACAATTCAATAAAAGGAACTGCAGCAGCACCTTAGACTGAATGGGTGAAACACTACAGTTAGGTAAAGTACACTGTGGCAGACAATTCAATTACAGGAACTGCAGCAACACCTTAGACTGAATGGGTGAAACAATACAGTTAGGTAAAGTACACTGTGCCAGACAATTCAATAAAAGGAACTGCAGCAGCACCTTAGACTGAATGGGTGAAACAATACAGTTAGGTAAAGTACACTGTGGCAGACAATTCAATAAAAGCATTGTGAGATCCTTGGTGCTGAAATATTTAATACCATCACAGCCATCATCACCAATATAATGTTCAATATGATTTTCATCATATTAATCAATTTCATTATCATGCAGAGGAGGCAAGAAGGCGAAAGAAGACACAGAAGAAGAAGAAGCAAACAGGAGGAGCAGGAAAAAAAGAAGGAGAAGGAAAAGAAGAAGAAAGCAGAGATGAAGAAGAGAGGAGGGGGAAGTGATGTGGGAAAAGAGAAGAAGAAGCAAAGAAAAAAAAAATCAAAGAATAAGAAGAAGAAGAAGAGGAAGAAGAAAAAGAAGAAGACGAAGAGGACGAGGATGAGGTGCAGGAAGAAGAAGAAGCAGAAGAAGAGGAAGAGGAGGAGGAAGAAGAAGAAGGTAAAGAAGGAGGAGCAGGAGGAGACATAAGAAGGGAGATGAACAAGAAGAATAAGGAGGAGCAGGAGGAGGAAGAAGAAGAAGAAGGAAAAGAAGGAGGAGCAGGAGGAGACATAAGAAGGAAGATGAACAAGAAGAATAAGGAGGAGCAGGAGGAGGAAGAAGAAAGAAGAGATACAAAAGGAAGAAAAAGAATAAATGAACAAACGTTATTTTCAAAGGGTAAAAAATTGTGTGCACAGGTCCATCTTATATGTGACCCTTCCAAGCCAAGCATTCATCTTTCAGATCACAGCTGTATGTTATCAATAATGCATGTTATGTCTACATAAAAACAGTACACAATTGATGCATACATATATCATATATTCACAATCATACACACTCAAAAATACACACTTACACATACTCTTACATGCTCTCTCTCTCTCTCTTTCTCATACACATACATTATACATACATACACCCACATACCTATCTACCTACAGAAATACACACAAACACAGACACACACTTACATACACCCACACTCAGACATACACATATGTGTACTCACATTCATGCATAAACATTTATATGTTCACACAAACACACATACATTCACACATTCAGCACACATACAAACACTCATGCACATACATGCATTCACATATACATACCCAAGCATACCCTCAAGCATACATACACATTTAAATACATACATGACATGTATTCATAGACACAACAGAATCCTACATATAAACACTCTTACATTTCCAAGCACGCACGCACCCACCCACATACAAACTCTCTCAACATATTTATGCTCATGCATACCCACACATACAAAAATAGCCATACAAACACAACCGTCCATATATACAAAACAAACGTATACATACATGGATTCCCAAATGATAATGCATAACGGATTCACTAAATTTAAGATGACATAAAATCATTGGTAAGTATGAATCGAAAAAGTCTGCAGTTAAATGTATATGGATTCTTTGTAGTTTTCAGAACGAGTGGAAAATGGTTCCATAAATGAGCAGCAGAAAAAGCTAAACTTGTTTTAAATAACTCAGTTCTAGGTTTAGGCAAATGTAATAAGCTTAGTCGCTTGCTATTCACAGGATTGGATTCAGTTAACCGGGAGATGTAATTTTGAGTATTCTGAGATATGATTTTATGAATGAATTCGGCCTCGTAAAAAAACTAGGTGTTTACCAAATGGCAGAAGTCTTAGATGTATTTTTTTTGTAGAAATTTTTTCGACATAATTTCTATCGGAGACTAAGAAAGAAGGCACGATTTTGTAGAGTGGTGTAACACTAAATCTGGAGCAACCATCTGAAATTGTTGAACAATAGTCAAAATGCATTTTGGATGTAAGATATATAAAATATTTTACGTGTATATTCATCTCGAAAATACTGAATTTTGCCAAATTGCTAAACTGTTTGTGCGGGGTTTCTTTTGGGGGAAGGAGTGGGGGGGGGGGGGGAGTGGGGGGGGGGGGGGGGGGGGGTCATGGCATGAACTTGGGAACTCCAAGTTAAATATATGTCAATTAAAACACCTAATGTTTTGTGTTCAACTACATTAACAATAGGCAGTTTGTCAATGAAGAGCTCAAGCAGTGGCTAGCATAAAGCTAATGTTTGTAACTTTTGTCTGGTTGCTATTACCATAAATTTAGCTTAATTTATATCAATATGTGATTATCATTGCTCCAGTATTTTATAAGATTATCTATTTATTTTTGTAAGGTTCATTCTAAATCATTACATTTAAAATGACTAGAATATACTGAACAGTTATCAGCAAACAGATTACATGTTATAATAAGATGTAATGAAAGATAAATAATAAAAGTGGCAAAAAATAGTGGACATAATACTGAGCCCTGGGGGACGCCTGTATTTAATCAGGTAGGTTTGAATAACGGTTACTGAAGGACACTACTTGCTGTCTATCAGACAAAAACAAATGTTTTATTGTCACTAAATCAACGCTCATTTTTAAGGTTTTATATTTACTAATTAAAATATTCACCATGTCACAGGCTTTCCTATAGTCAGCAAATACTGCATCACAAATGTTGCCTTTATTGATGTTAAAGTGCCAGTTGTCTGTCATTTTCGTCTTTGAAGTATGACAAGAGTGTTTAGGTCTGAACCCTGACTGGCTATCAACTATCAGATTGTTGTTATTTAAATGCTGAAACACTATTTTATGTATGTGTTTCTCTAATGGTTTGGATAGCAAGGACAGTGGAGAAAGGGGTCTAAAATTGCCAAAAGAACTGTTGTCAGCTGAGCCAGGTTTGAACAGAAGATAAACTTCAGCAATTTTAAATGTTGATGGAAAGTAGTTCTTTACAATGCTCTGATTATATATGAATGTTAAGGAATCACTTATGACTGGGCAGCACATTGAAGAATTCCATCTAAGCCAGAGTTTGTCTGCTTGAGGTTGGAGAGATATTTATAATCTTCAGCGACACGTGGGTAAATACACTGATTTAGTGAGGGTGTGGGTTTGAACCTTAACAATGCCCACCCACGTGAGAAACTGGACTATTATCTAAGCTATGTTGATCCTAGACAGTCCTGGATAGCCAAGAAAACAGCGAGTGGCTCGTTCCATGAAATGAAAGTTGCTGTACTTGTATCCACAGGAGTAGGAGAAGGGATAGATAGATATCTGGATACACCCACTGTGATATAATCCAGGTGCTCATTTAACCCCTCCGACTGCTCTCCTCTCCTGGCATTACTTAAAAGCCCCCATCAAGTGATTTAAATATTTGTTAGCTGAAGTAAACTAATATGCACAAAGACACTTGAACCTAAGTACACAATTTAATCAACTATGTGTTAACAACATGAAAAAGATTTATTTGAATAAATCGAAATTAAAATGAACTTGTTTAGGCTAGTAGAGTTGAAATGATGTGGATGATGAGATCATAAAGGTATTGGAAAGTAACAACCTTTGGACAGTTCTCGGCTTGAGACCCTGCCTATCTTTTCCAGTTTGTCGTCCTCACTGCTTTCTGCAGGTCGTTACACTCGACGGTCGGCAAATAATGGATGCCTACTAGTCCCTGCCCAATGTGGGAACTGGAGAATGAAGAAACAAGCGCATATTT